GTAGTAGTAGTAGTAGCGGTAGTAGCGGTAGTAGTTATTAGTAGCAATAGTAGTATATAGCAGTAGTAGTAGTAATAGTCGTCGTCGTCGTCGTCGTCGCCGTAGTCGTAGTCGTAGTAGTAGTAGTAGTAGTAGTAGTAGTAGTAGCAGAGTAGGAGTATCAGTGGCAGTGGCAGATGCAGTGGCAGTGGTAGTGGTAATAGTAGTAATAGTAGTGCTAGCAGTAGTGCTACGACGACGACGACTACTACTACTGCTACTACTACGAGATAGCGAGTGGAGGCAGGAGTCGGAGAAGAAGCGGAGGAGCAACTGCACACGTTGGCAGAAAGCAAGGATCAACACCGAACCCCAAGTCTCTAGAAGGTTGGGGTTTAGGGTTTAGGGTTTCGGCCGGGTGGCTGTACATAGTGGATGGCGTGGGTGCTCCCGCCACGTGCTGAGCGCAAGTCGGGTTTCTTGTTGCCCTGCCGGCAGTCACAGCAACAACCCTAAACCAGAACCTAAACCCCGAAAACACCTAGACCCCACATGGGCTCGAGCACCAAGCTCTGAACCGAAAATCCCTGTATCCCGGATGCGAATCCCGACTGTTGCGAAACCTGAAGTGTAAATCGTACCTGAAGGGGCTTCGTACGGTCTTCGTAGGGTTTGACTGGACGCTCTTGTGATTTAGTGAGCAGGGCTGGGAAGGACAATGGGGATTGTTAACTAACGGAATTACAGGGGGACCAAAACTGACCTATACCATGACGTTACCGGAAGATGTCTCGAAATCCACACGTTAGGAGGCATGCGCTGTTTCGGGGGCTTTGTGCTTTAGGGGGGTGCGGCTTGGGTGCGGGCTTTAGCTTCAGGGTTGAATCCTCCACCCTAAACCCAGAACCCTACAGAGCAAAAGCCCGGTAGGCACTCAGCCCCTCTGACTCGGAAGTCGAACCACTGTTGGGCAAAGCATTGATCAACACCAATTGTTGAGGTGTACGGTTTAGGGGGCTGTGTTTAGGGTCTAGACGAAAGTCCTGTTGCAGTGAGCTGTTGCTTGAGGTTCAGTGGGTAGCTACAGACTGGGACAGAAGTTCTACGTACCATACCTCGGGCTACCGTGTGCAGCATAGTTGATGAGTTCTGGCTGCCTGCCTTTTACCCCCAGTTGCACAGACGGATGAACTTCCAAGTCTGGGAATACAAGCCTAAACCCTAAAACCCTAAACCCCTAAACCCTTAAACCCTAAACCCCTAAACCCCTGAACCCTAAACCCCTGAACCCTAGACCCTACACCCTAAACCCCTAAACCGCTAAACCCCTAAACCCTTAAACCCCGGACCCCCTAAAAACCTCAAGAGCCATGGCTCCAAGCCCCCTGGCCTGCTCACGCAGGTCCTGCTGGGGAGGGGCGGAGAAGGGCTAAGGTTTAGGGTTTAGGGTTTATGGTTTAGGGTTTGAAGGTTTCCATAAGGATAGGCTTCTGAATATCTTTGCTACCAGCATACAGGTTTCTACAAGGCTCTTTGGGGAGCACGAAACTCGGGGCCTAAATCAGTAGAATCGGGTTTTCGGGCCCATTATTGTGTAAGTATATTACTGGGCCCCCTGGAATGATATTGGCAGTGTTTCTGCAGAAGATGCCAGATCATTGTCCTCATGGCCTTAAAGTAAAGTATAGGGAATCCCAGCACTAATCATCCTAAACCCATGCTCCAACTTTCTGGGATTCATTATAGGGTTTTGGGGTATATCATAGTACAAACACACGGAGGGGGACATACGAAGGGGGCTTTGAGGAACGATAGTGCTAACCATGCAGGCCTCTACATTAGCCGATTTCGTGCTGCATTGACACGGGACTAGACTAGGGTTTGGTGCCGGCTTGTTCGGTGCCAAAGTTAACAACTTATTCGGGTTTAGGGTTGAGGGTTTAGGGTTTTTGAACCGTAAACCCGAGGAACAAAAACCTTAATTGTAGGGACTACGAATTGGAAAACTACTAATTGTTTAGACCTCCAGAACCTTTTATGGTTTAGGGTTTAGGATGAAAGGTTTCGATTTTGGGGTTAGGTTTAGGGTCTGGGGCTATTCGCCCACCCACCCCCCCCGGCGGACGACCCGAAGCGTTTACAATGTTTACAATTAGAGAAGAAGGCTGGGCGCAGAAAATTGTATATAATGTAGGGGCTTCAATAATTACAATAGGGTTTTGGGGCCCCTTATACTATCTTAGTCATAATAAGGAACCCCCAAAATAATATTGGTAATTAGTTAGGCCCCTATATTACTTGAGGATTGCAACGGTATCCGAACGATTGAAGCTCGGGTGTTGGAGGTTGGGGTTTCCGGTTAAGGTCTAGGGTTTAGGGTTTAGGGTTTAGGTTTCCGGAGACTACCCTCGGGTCCTCGTGATGTCGTCACCACATCAGGGCCCCCGAAGACCCTTAAGAGCTTGATGCACCTGACTTCCTTTGGGAAGATCAGCGCAACCGTCAAAAAGAGGAACGTTCGTGTCTCCAACCAGAGGCTCTCCAAACCCTAAACCTTAAACCCTAAACCGGCATGGTAAACCCGAAACCTTCCGTCCATTAACCCAAAACGCGACATACACCATCAGCCGAAAGCCCTATATAAATCATAGCGTCGAAAGGCCGAAGCGTCCTCAATCAGTAGTTCCGTATACCAGTGATGGCACTGCCCTTATTATATTGTTTGGGGCCTGGCACGTCCCGGATTCCGCATTTATCTTGAAAGGCTTCGTTTAGATTGTAGTACACCACTATATGTTGTATTGCATTATGCTATATATTGCTTTACATTACCTCATAGCATTTTAAATTTTGTACTGCATTGCAGTGTAGTATGTAAGATTCTGTATTCCGTGAAAGTCCCTCGTGTGAGACCGAAAGCAAACCAAGTCTATCTTATCAAGCCTCCCGAGTAGTGTCCCCACTAAGTTCGAGACACGACAAGAAAGAACGCATCGCAGTCGCAGTTTTGACACCAAACGAAACCTCAAGAGTCATGCTTCGAAACTCCGCACATCCCAGCATGGCCATCAAGAGGGTGCTGTCACTGTTTCAAGCTTTCCTTCAAGCATCATCATCACCATCATCACCATCACCTGCACACCGATGTGAAGTCTGCTTTGAATCGCGGTTGCCGCCTTAATCAGTGTTGGTGGTGTATGGGTAGGTATATGCTGGTACAATATAGGGCCTGGGGAGATTACTACCAATCATCCACATTACCCTCATTCCACAGGGTGCCGCCCTGCCCGAAGAGCAGCAATCTTGATCCTCAGCAGTGGGATTCAAGAACCCATAATTCTCCAAAACTCCAGCAAAATGCAGGTCAAGTGGTCCAGTGGTAATAGAACCGGGAACGGTACAAAATGGCCAAAACGCAGCTTCAGCGACAAGGGAGGTTAGTTGATTCGTCTCGGACTGCGACCGCGAACGCGTCCCTACATCCGGGTTCCAAGACCGTACCTTAACGATGAGGCCATGGCATCCTTCGGACAGCCGTTGGCCCATCACATACTGGATGAGGTGTGTATGTGGCCGAAATATACCCAGCCGTGCCCCCAAAATGCAATGGTTTCGTCATGGTGAGCAGCATAACCAAGTCTTCTTTTCACTTCTGAGATGATGACTTTGATACCCGCTGGGTAAGGCCTCACTCACTCCTTCTGACCACGCTGGAGCTTGTAGTAGACGCCCTGCGATGTGACAAGAGTGCACGGTAGCCTTTAGCGTTTAGGTTTTCGATTCTAGGGTTTAGGGTTTCAGGGTTTAGGGTTTAGGGGTTTTGGGTTTAGAGTTTAGGGTTTCAGGGTTTAGGGATTAGGTACGAGGATTCGGGGTATACGAAGGTCCAGATGCTAAACCATAAGTCCTCATCTCTGGGTCCAAACCGGATTCTCAACACGATTGCGGCTTGGGTTTTGGGGTGTACTGTAGTATCCTTATATACTATAAGTGAGTACTGTCACTAATTATTCAGACCCGTATATTGTTTGCCAAGGCTGTTCACCTGCCGCCACATCGCATCATGCTGCGAAGCCGTACTGGAGACATATCTGCCTTCTACTGGGCTCTCAGTTTGAGACTTAGGCTTCAGGTTTAACTGACCACGCTTACTCCGACGACGACGACGACGACGACGACGATGACTACTACTACTGCTACTACTGCTACTACTGCTTCTACTGGTCCGACTGCTCCGGCTGCTCCTACCACTCCAACTCTCTACTCCTACTCCTCCTACTACTCCTACTCCACTCCTACTCCTACTTCTACTCCAACACCTACTACTACTACGACGACGACGACTACTACTACTATAAACACTTGCCGCCAAATTTTGAATTAGAAAGCTTCCTGTGGCCTTCGCCTGCATCAGCTCTGCGTGGGTTCCGGTCTCCGCGACCTACGGGAGCTTGAAGGTGTAGCTAGGGTTTTGGGTTTGGGTGCAGGGCTTTGGGTTTAGGGCTTTGGGCTTCGGGTTGGGGTGTAGGTATGTGTGAGATGTAGGGTTTGGGATGGATGGTTTAGGTGGGCTTTTGGAATGCACATATCAAGAGTCAGGGTTCAATGACCTTCGACCCGTGAACCCTCCACCCGAAACCCAAACTTCAAATTACACAGCAGGAACCACCTATGTAATGAATGTCCGCACCTGACCCTCGGACACGACGATGATAACGTCGCCTGGGCCACGTCCAGGTCTCTTTGCACAACACCAGTAAGAAATAGTGCAGTCTTGAGTCTGTTGGGCTTGCAGCCTACAGCTTATGCTGCCTTTGCCGCCTAAACCCTAAACTTAAACCCTAAACCCTAAACTTAAACCCTAAACCCTAAACTTAAACCCTAAACCCGAAACCCCAAAAAGAACGGTCCAGCCCCCGTGATATGCCCCCCCTTCAACCCGAGAACCTCGGGCCCCAAACTGATTGCAACCTACGGCGGATGACATAAACCCTGCATTACGCATTATAGGATTTAGGGTTTAGGGTTTAGGGTTTAGGGTTGCATGACGCATTATAGGGAATGTATCGTAATTTCCAGAGTTTGGAGTCCTTAAGCTAATGCAGGGTTTATAGCATCAACAGTACACCTTAAACCTTCTGAAAGCCCGAAAACTTCCACCCGCAAGACTGTGAGTCTATGGGCTCAGGACTTGCGCAGGTGCCCCCCCAAAAAAAGCTGTGGGGTACGTCTACAAATACAGATAGATGGGTCAAAAGGCCATCAGACTACTAAGTGTCAGCATGCCCATGCTAAGGCGCCACAACCTAGACTAAGGCATATCTACATTCCAGATTTCATGCGTTCTCGCCACGACCATGTTTGATGATGCTGATATCAAGATACGTATGAGCGGAAGATTCAGACCCTAAACCCTAAACCCTAAACCCTAAACGTAAAGACAGAAACTCCTCAAGGCGGCAGCCCTTTTAAGCGGGCAGCCTAGATTCATTTTTTTTAGGGTTTAGGGTTTAGGGTTTTGGGTTTAGGGTTTAGGGTTTTGGGTTGTGGGTTTAGGCGCGGCTTCCAGTCTCGCAGACAACCCCCCGAAAGCCTAAAAGTGTGATCATCACCCTCGATGTCGAGCCACAGTCCTGGATGGTAGACAGCCGATGAGCAATAGCCTTGGCACTGGGGGCTATGATGGTTTAATGTAGGGGCCTTAATAATTAGAATAGGGTTTGGGGGCCCAATATACCATATCTATGATAGAAAAACACAAAATAATGGTGGTAATTCTTTAGGCCCTTTGTTAGGATTGAAGGTTTAGAGCTTAGGCTTTGAAGCGCAGGGGTTCAAAGGCGAGCTTTAACGTCGCAGGCTTAGGGCTTCGGGTGTGGACTTTGAGGTTTAGGGTTTAAGAAACCCAGGGTTTAGGGTTTAGGGTTTAGGGGTTTAGGGTTTAGGGTTACGACAACCCTCCTCATCCCTAACCGACGACAACCCCGAACCCCTGAAAGCCGAAAAAAGCTCAACCCGCCATCTCCTCCACCCTCCTACTTGGAGGTCCAGGGGGACTTAGTAAATTGGCTATAAAGTAGGGTTATAATTGGGGTAACTCCAGTTAGGGTACTTACAATTCTACTTATAACCTACCTACTAAGTCCCCTGGGCCTCCAAGTAAACCTAAACCCTGAACCCATGCAAGTCCGAAAGAGCTCCATGAAAGACATACAGAGCCCTGTAGGGCCCTCAAATATCCTAAACCTCAAGATCCTGGGCCTCTGGGAACAGGCGTTAGGGTTTAGGGTTAGCGTTTAGGACTTAGGGTTTTGGGTTTAGGGTCTTGGGTTTAGGGTCTAGACTGAGTCTTCACATGTTTGACGGAGGGGCTTAGGGGATGAGGGTGTTGGGGTTTAGGGTTCGCGGTTCTTGGCTTGGGGACATGGCAGGGTCCTAGAAACCTTGGGTGCTAGAGTTGCACAGTCTTGGGTTCGGGTTTCGGGTTTCGGGCTTAGGGTTTAGGGTTTAGGGTTTAGGGTTTAGGGTTTTGGGTTTAGGGTTTAGGGTCATGTGGGTAAGAACCAGCACCCCGGGGCCCCTGCGATGGATGTGCGGCCCTGCCGGGCGGCCTCGTGCAAGACATACTAGAGTTTCCGGGTACGGCTCAAGCCCGTAACCCCAAGACCCTGAGCTCTAAACCCTAAACCCCAAACATTATCAATCCTCAACCCCAAACCCTAAACTTTAAAGCTCCACCCCAAACCCTGAACTTTAAAGCTTGAGCTAAGGGGTTTAGGGGTTTAGGGTTTGGTGTCAAGGATTCAGGGTTTCCGTATTAGAGTCTGGAACTTTAGAGTTTTGGTTAAAACTTCACGAGTGCACTTGGGGCCTAAGAACTAATTACACTAGAAGTGCGGATGAAGGGCCTACTGTATAGGGCTTCGGGCTATCATACCTGCGGTTATGCAGCAATGCGGGAATACTACCACTTCATTGAAGAGGCCACGCGTTCTCTAGTTTAGGTTTGGGCTCTGGGTTCCTGTTGTTGCAGGTTCAGCACGTATGCAAGAGGCTGCCAGCTTCAAGCGTCGAGCCTGCAGCAGGAAGTCCACGGCGTACCTTAAATACATTAAATACACCATCCAAAGCCCTGTACAAGCCCCGTATCAACCCTAAACCCCATTTTAAACCCAATAAAAATATGCCCCAAGCCCCAACCAAAACAACACCAAATGCTTCTCTATCTGCGGAGATATCCTGCAAGCCCTACTTGGGACATGGTCAGTCCTTACTTGCCTCCATGCGTAGTACAAACCGAAACGTAAGTTCAAGAGGTTCCCTTCGTATGTCTGGCTATACATGGAGGTGGATCCAAATCCCGGGCCCCATTAAGCATGTCAAGAAGAGGCCGCCACTACAAAGCTTCCTCATATGACGGACTGAGTGCTTCGATGGGGAAGTGAGCTGCCGTCCTACCGGGGCATCCGGGCAAAGTGACCGGAAAGTCAGTGCTGCACTCACTGTAGTCCATCGCGCCGGGCATGATTTCCCGGACTCTGGCCGTGCCCTAAACCCCAAACCCTAAACCCTAAACCCTAAACCCTAAACCCTAAACCCTAAACCCTAAACCCTAAACCCTAAACCCTAGATCCGAGGAATCTCAACCTGCTGAGTCCGGAGCTCATCGCTCGCTGCATCCTGTCAACACACTCGCCTGCTGCGACCGTCCCAAGTCCTCTCAGCAAAACTATTCTGAACAAAGAACTCGCCCCGAAGCCCAAAGCCCAATCCGGAACTCCCAACCCTCAGCAGTAACCTTTTATCAGAATCAGAAGACCAGAAACGGTTTGGGTTTACCTCTATCTCCGGCATCTCCTTCCTACTCCTATTAATCTGTTCTTGTTCTGAGACTGTTGGCTGCTTCCCGAAACCCTGAATATACTTACCCCACTCTAGACTGTAAATCCTACACCCCGAATTTCAAGAGTAGCAGAGCTCTTGATCGATCCCAACCCTACACCCTAAACCCTAAACCCTAAACCCGAAACCCGAAACCCTAAACCCTAAACCCTAAACCCTAAACCGTTTCTCTCTTTCTCAGTGAGGCCTCCAGTGCCGACTGCACCAGGCGCTCGCTCTGCGAGTCCAGGGCACTGGTGGCCTCGTGCCGGTCTTAAGGCGGCTTCGGGTTTAGGGTTTAGG